AGCCGACGCTTTTTGCTACTAGTGGGCTATAACATATAGCCTAGAAGGAGCTCAACCATAGAACGCAGCATTGATAATAGACCACTAGTTGGATTTTACTAATAGGAGATGTATACTTTATAGTGACGTTTATGGCAAACTGCAAACGTCAGATTCAAAATAGAAAATGTGTAGCTAAAAACAGTACAATACAACTGTTACTAGTTTGGGGTGAAAGTAATTAACTGTAAAGTGCAAGTTAAAGAAAAACATTGTCACGTGGTACAAATTCATTTGCCGTTTGCCGTTAACGTCACTTTAAGTCTCAGTCTCCATTGTTTGCTGTTAGTAATAGATCCCGAACCTCCCCACAGCCAGTGAATCGCTAAGCTCAAAGACCAGGCCCTGGAGACGGCGGCCATCAAGCCTATTGACTCCCCCGAATTCCAGGGTTTTCCAGAGTTTAGTTTACAGTGATTTCTCAGGCCAAAACAAAAATTCAGTCCAAAGTAGGAAAAAACCTATTTTCACATTACGACGACTTGCCCTTGTAGGAGGATCTAGAGATGACGTTTCGAGCCGGCTAGACCTTCTTCAGAGCGAACCAGAGACTGTGCCGTACTTTGTGTGATTCCTGTATCGTTTTAAGCGATCTGGGCTGGTCAAAGGCCCAGGAGTAGGGAGAGGGGGTAGAGTACTCCGGGGTTAAAAAGACGAGATGATCAGGGAGGGCTTTTTGGGTTCGACTCCGGGATTTTTTGGGTAGGAAAATTTGGCAGTATTTTTTGGTTGGCTTGATTCAAGTAGGGATTTTGTTTGGGCAGATTCAAATCAATCTGAGGATTAGTGGTAGGTCAGCGTATGCCAGCCGCGTAGTTCTGAGAATGAAGTATAAAACCAAACTTGTTTCAGCTGTTCAGTGTTTTGCGGCTCTTTTAATATTCAATACTTTCTGCAAATTTTTAAGGCTCAGAAATTCGGCATGGAATTTTTTTTTTTTTTTTGCGGGGGGGGGGGGGGGGGTTTTTTTTTTTTGGGGGTTTTTGGGTTTTTGTGGGGTTTTTATTTTTTTTCCCTTTCTTTACCCCCTGTCATTTGAATTCCCGAGATTTTTCCCCTGGTAAAAAAACATAACACCTATAGAACACTTCAAACAGAAAGAGAGAAAAAAAAAAAAAACGAAGCTTTTTATATTAT